TGTACATCTCTCCTGGCACCTCATCAGTCTTAAGGAATTATTGGTGGGGTCAAAAATTGAGATAATTTAAATGTGAGGTCTAGTTTTCCATGCATTCATGGTATGGCCTCCACCTAGCTACCAAATCAAATACAAACTTGCCCGCCACCTTGCCCAGTGTAGATTGTTCCCTATTCCCCCCACTGGCCCTGTGCCTCCCGACCTCTGCTCCTGCTCTGAGAGAGAGCACTTCTGACTGTCTGTCCCACTGGAGCTGCCAGATCTGGAGTCCACGCCTCAGGATGAGCAGGTTTCCTTCACGCCCAGCTTTCCCTTCTCTGCACACCCCCTTCTTGTCTTCGTATTACATTTCCTCTCTCTCCTCTCTCTCTCTGCACAGTGGATGGATCACAGTATCCAACAGAGCGTTTACAATTTAATGGCATTTTCGGGAAGCCAAAGAGCCTCCACTGTATGTACCTACCTGCAAGACGCAAAAATGTCAAGAAAGTTCGCTGCCTCAAGTCAGCATAAAGTATCAGTCCACACCCAGAAGGTTTGGTAGAGACAGACAACTCCATTTCTCAGTGTAAAATAAAGTATACGTATTTCCTAGGCCACTCCCTCGTGCTGTGAAGTGGCTCTTTCTGACGTGAGTTTACAGAGAAGACAATGTCTTTAAGATCTGGAGTCATAGCTCTGGTGCCATCAAGAGATACGCACAAAACAGGGAAAATAAAACAAACTCACCGAGTTGAGTTTTAAACCTCCATGGAGGCCTAATACAATGGCAAAACATAACATAACACTTCCATAGATACTTTCTCTTTTTTTTTTGAGATGGAGTCTCGCCCTGTTACCCGGGCTGAAGTGCAATGACGTAATTTTGGCTCACTGCAGCCTCCACCTCCCAGGTTCAAGTGATTCTCCTGCCTCAGCCTCCTGATTAGCTAAGACTACAGGCACCTGCCACCACTCCTGGCTAATTTTTGTATTTTTATAAGAGACAGGGTTTTGCCATGTTGGCTAGGCTGGTCTGGAACTCCTGGCCTCAAGTGATCTGCCCTCCTTGGCGTCCCAAAGTGCTGGGATTACAGGTATGAGCCACTGAGCCCAGCCCATAGATACTTTCTGACTGAAGGCCTAGAATTTTCCACTTTTCTAGAAGAAAAGGTAGTCTGTAGTGACATAGTTGAGGAAAATCTTTGTTCTTCCTGTTTCCTTGTTTATCTTCTTTTGGAGATAATTAAGCAAAAATAACGGTGATGAAGATAAAATGAGTGTGCCGGGAATGGCCTCACATATGTACCTACACAACTGTGAGAAGGTGTCAACAAGCAGCCACAAGAAAGTGCTGGTGAATGTAACTCTACACTAAGCCAAGGTCTCACATTGGGCTAAATCATAAGATGCTGATAAAATAGACAAGAAGGCGGTGAGCAGCAAAGCACTGTCCTCGCTGATGAAGTGTGGTACCGTCAGCACAGGGGGAGGAAGAAACAGAGCTTTACTAAGTGTCTGATTACAGTGTGGACTTTGCAGACAGTCAGAGCCCAGGAAGAGAAACGAGTGAATTTACGGATCTCACACTGGTTAAATTTAACTTAGAAGATTGATGATAGAGGTGATAGGAGAACTAAAAGCCAAGATGTATGGTAAGTCACTGCAGAACTTGGAACAGCAGAAAGGCACACCCATTCCTAGGGCCAGAGGGATCAGGCGGGAAGGAAGTAATGGTCTCACAACTTGTATATGGACTACCCAGGAGATCCTGGAGTTGCTCAGACCTGCCTGTGTAAGCTGAGACCATAGATGAAGCAACTTTCTATTAATAATAGGAATCAGACCCACAGAGGTGACGCCTCCTGAAGTATAGGAAGAGAATTACCTTTGCTTCTCATCAGCGCCTGTCCTCTCCCTTCTGTCAGTGCCTCCCTTTGGCCAGTCTATATGGTACCTGGAGGCAGGGTGCTAGGAAGCGTTAGTCATTTCCTGAGGCACAGGGCACAGGACCAGCAGGCAGGGGATGGCTCTGAGAGCAGCGGAATGACTGGCCATGCTGGCTTCAGGTCACGACGCTGCCATTCACTAGAGCCTGTCATGCTACCTTTCTGAGCCTCAGTGACCACATCTGTAAAATTGGGACAATGTCTGCCTTTATCTGTATAACTTATATAATGGTGGTTGTGACAAGATTAATGGCTGCAAAGGAGAATGGCTGAGCCACCCTTCGTCTTAGACTACGTCAGGATGAAGAAGAGTTGACACCCTGGATTCCCATGCTGGGAGCCCGTGCTGGAGTCTTAATATTGTTAACCCAGGGTCACATGGGTGATACTCCAGTGTTACACAGGCCACATGGGAATTTGCAATCTACAAGTCAATTTCACATCGTTAACTCATATGGCTTTCACTGTGACCTAAACAGGAAATGTACTGCTCTCTGTGCTTTGTTTCCAAGTTACAGATGCTCACAGAGCTTAGGTAATTTATTCAGGTAAACCCACGCCATACATGGTAGGGCTGAGTGATAACTTGATGATGCCTCACTTCAGACCTGGTGATTGTCTTCCACGTAACTCTGCCCTTAAGCCAAAAACTTGGACCAACCACATCTTGGCTCCACATTTTAAGAACAGAATTTTAAAAAATAATAATCAAAGGGAAGTCTGACATGAACAAAGATGATAAATAACTAACGTCTGTCTTCCTTGCTCAACCCAGTCAAGATTGTAGAAATGCTGGCTGTGAGAGCTGCAGGGAGATCAGGCACAAAGAATACAACATTCTGCAGGATCTGCAGTTCCAAGGCTGTGACTCAGAGCCCAGGGGCAGGGAGGGAGAAGACCCAGCTCTTGTCAGTGTTGTAAGACTTCACACGCACGAAAGTATTCACTCAACTATTAGTACGTGTGTAATTGTGATCATTTGGGAGGCTAAAAGCATTTATGACATAAAAAGGATTATAATAAGCCAAAAAGAGGGTAATCAGTTTCTAGTGGTTCCCTGCAGTAGAGAAGTAAATTACAGTCTCTCTCTTCTATTCTTTGAAATTTTATCATAAAAATGCATTACTTTTATGATTTACTTAAAACATGTAAGTTTCCTTCAAAACTTATTTTAGGAGTGGAGAGCGTGCCCAGACTTGAAGAGGTTGATTGTCACAACCCAGTCTCTGATTTCCAGCTCCCAAATCAGTTGATAAGAAAAAGTGGCACTTTTTTCCCCCCAAGAAGCCTTTATGAAATAGTGATGTTGCCACAAAGTTGCCTCCAAGTCTGTGAGGGAACAGATCAGACCAGGGGTTCACCTGTGGAGGTCTAGTCTCCATGGGGAAAAGCAAGTCATCCCCAGCGTCTCTCTGCACCCAGGCTCAGAGCTGGTGCGAATCCTCTGCAATACCCAACGCCATCATTACCTCTCACACAGTAAGACAGTGAAGTCAGCACCCACCTCACCCCACACTCACCTCCTTCGTCCACTTATAAATATCTCCAACTGCTTTGTCTCAACTCATCAACTTAAGAGGAAAGTTAGATTTTAAAAAGAAGCATCCACAAATCTGGTCTTAAATCTGCTGTTGAGCTCCACTCTGAGCATGAATTATCTTCTACGTTTCCGCAGCCCTGTGCTTCGGCTTTTCCTGTGACTCCCATTAGAATCCCTCCTAAAGATATCATTTGACTGTCTGCTCATCTACCTGGCCCTACATGGAGCTTCTGGAGAGAAAGATCCAAGACGTATCCCTGTTTGTATCTCACCCATTTCACCCTCACCTACACTGAAAACACGACACTTGTCCCTTCCTACAGTACTGTATCTGACAGGTGTGGTGCACCAAAATTCTGAACACACACTGCCAGAACTAACACACCCTGGATCCCTAGTGGATCTGTTATAATTGCATTTGCACAAAGCAGCAGCCAGGAGACATCACGGTGACTTCAGCTCCCAATTGAGTAATTATTGACTTACTTAGCTCGCAATTGAATAGTAAACCAAATATAATCCACCGTTTGGACTTCCAAACATTTAAGTCTAATAGTCATTTTTTTTCCTTTTTAGCATTTTTCCCTCTAAACATTGAATCTATATCTAGGGGTAATTATCTGGCCCCTGGACTGCCCTGAATGCTCCTGAGTCAAGAGTAACTTGAGGTCTTAAATGTCTATTCTGAAGCCCCTCTTTGTACAAGGATAGTCACTGACTAGGAGGAGATGCCACTCTATGAAATCTATCATCCCAGATCTCTGATGAAGTAAAATTACACACCTTCTTTACTCATCAATTTGTTAGTTTTTAGACAATGATGAAGAATCAGACATAGGCCACACACAGTGGCTCACGCCAGTAATCCCAGCAATTTAGGAGGCTGAAGTGGGAGGATTGCTTGAGCTCAGGAGTTCACATCTGGGCCCAAAACCAATCTGGGAGGCATAGTGAGACCCTATTTTATTTTCTACAGAAAATTTTAAATTGATCCAGGTGTGGAGGCATGTGTTTGTGGTCCTGGCTACTCTGGAGGCTGAAGTGGAGGACCTCTTGAGCCTGAGAGGTCAAGTTGCTGTGAGCTATCATCATACCACTGCACTCCAGCCTGTGCAACGAAGTGAGACTCTGTCTCTCAAAATTAAAACACATGAAAGAATCAGATATGTTTCACTCAACTCATAGCACACTATCATAGGCCAAGGGCCAGAGGGTCAGGGAACCCTGAAGGTAGCCCGTTTTGCTCCCTTGCCTCACTACCAAAAATCCAGTCCTATTGCCAGACACTGAATATGTCCAGAACTGGATTTTTTCGGTTCCCAAGAGGATCTTAGACTCTCGCAACATTTTAAAAAGAGGAAAAAAGCTACAAAATAACACCGTACGGGCAAGTGAGCCCCAGCCACATGCTCCGAGACTAGTCCCCAAAGGGGGCATTCTTGCCCACAGCATCCCTAGCGGTGCCTACGACCCAATCCGACCCACACCCAGACAAGCCCCTTGAGTCCAGAAAGCAGCGGGACAGGCACATTTCCATAGGGAGCTCTGCCTCACCACTGGGTTCCCAAGTACGTCTGGGTGCATGGGTGTGTTCTGCATTGTGAGAGGCACTGGTATGACACACCAGGAAACATGTCATAATGTCATCACTGTAACGTGAAAAGAATTACAGCAATGGCTGGAACCTTTATAAGATGACCAAGCACACTTTTAGATCCAGTCTCAGCCTGGAGTGAAGCCTGGCAGCTATGAGGATCCATTACCTTCTGTTTGCTTTGCTCTTCCTGTTTTTGGTGCCTGTTCCAGGTAAGGTGGGCTGGGAAATCCAAGGGTTGAACTAACTGGGAGTGTATATTCAGAGTCAGTCTCTCTCCATCCTTCAGAGCACTTTAGACCAAGCAGGTTCATTGGATGGGAACCAGGTATCACCATTTTTTCCTTTCAGACAAGAATCATTACGAACCTTACATCAGGTTTCTCAATTTTTCCTGATCCACTCCTGAGAAACTAAATGGATCCCAAAAGCTATCTCTTTCTCCTAGACGATTGCTATGCTTGCTGATGAGACATGAAACCGACACAATATTTTAACACGGCAGGGAAGACCAATATACTCTGAGAACAGAAGCAGAGGCTCCTGTTTTACTAAGTGCAGTGGTTGGAGGCAGAGTGTTTGGGCTGCCTCTGAGGACAGCACAGCCCCAGCACCCACACTGTTCCTGCGGCAGTCACAGGGTCCCACCACTTCCCCACTGCCACTGTGGGTCCACAGCTGAGCTGCAGCCATAGAAACATCACCTATGGGTTGCTTGGTACTACCTTTACCTCCTGATTTTATAGAAAAAGGAAAAAGAAGAATACAAGAAAAGCAACAGATGTGTTATTTGAGGAATTCCAGACGCCTTGTACATGTACCAAAAGTCTTCCTAAAATCTTTCCGTATGTGCCGTTTTGTCATTGCAGGCCATGGAGGAATCATAAACACGTTACAGAAATATTACTGCCGAGTCAGAGGCGGCCGGTGTGCTGTGCTCAGCTGCCTTCCAAAGGAGGAACAGATTGGCAAGTGCTCGACGCGTGGCCGAAAGTGCTGCCGAAGAAAGAAATAAAACACCCAAAAGCATGATGAGAATGTTGTGAAGTGTGGAAATGCCCCCATCATGTTTATAAAAGTAAAATTTTTTTAAAAAAATTAGGAGCTTCATTTGCTTTTTTTTTTTTTTTTTTTTTTAAATTCTGGTTATTTTCATAGTTGTTTCCAAAAATGCAATTTAGAAAGTCTTAAGGGCTCACCTTTCATTCAAAGAGCATAGAATCTCTGGAGAAATCTACAAGGGAGCCTGACCACATTATCTAAGGGTTACCAGGTTCTATTCCTGCTTTCTGAACATCATGCCCCAGTGAAGCTGGACTCTTTACTCTCCTGAAACACGCCCTTTGCTTTTGTATCACACAAGCCTCCGATCTTTCAGTCTCTCCACCCTAGATGGCATCTCTCCACCAAATCTATTTCTCAGGTGTTCACGCATCCCTCAAGGGTCATCCCAGTTCCTTCCAAAACCTCTGTCTTCAGAGAAATAGGGAACCTGGCTCTTCCTCAGACATTCGCTTTGACTTCTCTCACCCATGCGTCTGCGCTGATAGACCTCATGTCTGACAGATAATCGCTCCTCCAACTTCATCTCTAAATTTAGCCTGTCCTTCAGGGACCGTCTCACATTTTATCTCCATCTTAAAAACACAGCTGATTTCCCAAATGCTGACAGTCTTTCCTGTAATTCACCACAGGGTTCTGACTTGAGTCCTTCAATCATTCGAATGATATGGAGGTACTGCAGTTTAACTATCCAGTGCTCTCTTAATGTTGATGAAGGATTCCAGCAAATGGAGTGTGTGGTCCTTCATACCTGACACCAGACCCCAATCAAGGCGTTATGTATGGAAAAAAAGACAATACAAGGAGGCTCTTAGGAAGAAAGGCTCAAGGACTCAAAAAAGATGAGCTTCTTTCTCATTTTCCATCCAAAATGGACTCACTGCTATGGGAACCTCCCTCTGACAGTAGACAAGAGGGAACCTGTCAGCAGGTGTGAGATAGCTGTGTTCAGACACTGGGTAATAAGCAGTGCAACAGACAATTGAAATGAGATTTCTGAATGCCCCTAGCTCACTACAGCCACAGGGTCCAGACCACAGCCCACAGAGGTCACACGAAGACCAGCAATTCTGAAGATAAAAGTTCACAAAGCACAAAACACCCCCATCTCCAGGGCCAAATAGCACAGAAAGGGTATCCAGAAGGAAACCAGGCCCACAAGTGTTGGTGGTGGGGGCAGGGGCACATGATAAATCTCCAGTCTTGGGCTATATTTTCAACTGAGCATGCTTAGGGTAAGACTTCACAAGGCCAGAGGCAAACAAAAACACACAAAATGGATTGGAAAGCAATTTCAGGAGCACTAAAGGCTGGAAAAGTTTTCATTTCCACCAGCAACGTGTAGAGGCTGCAGAGCCCTCAGAAACCTAACACATGAGTGGTGTTGCTGTTTGGCTCTACATTAAACCTTTCTGCAACTACTCTAACAATTTTTTCCTAAACCATTCTTGAAAGACTTGTCTATAAGAAACTTAAACGTGGGCCAGAATAAAGTCTAGCATTCTTCAAAGAAAAACAACTCATCTATCACTCAACAATTTGTGCTTTATAATGCACTGAATGTCATCAAAAATTAGCAGGCATGCAGGAAAATATGGCCATAACAAAGAGAAAAGTCATTCAGTAAAAACAGATCCAGAGATGACACGAATACTAGGATTGGCAAAAAGGGATATGAAAGACCTGTTATCAATGTGTCCAAGTTTGAAGAGAAAAACTCTTCATGATGAGGAGTGAGAGACGTCAAGAAATACATGGCATTTCCAGAGATTAAAAATAAACATCCGAGTAAAAAATATTATGAATTGAATTGTAACATACATTCCAAAATAAAGATCAGTAAACCTGAGTTTATATTACTACAAATGAATGAAGAAATAAAGCAAAGGGCGGGAAAAGGGGCTGGAAAACGATTAACAGTGACCTGCGTGGAAACATCAAGCAATCTAGCACCTATGTATGTTTAGAGGCAGAAAGAAGTTTTGGGAGAGAGGATAGAGCTAAGGAAAGAATGGCCTATTGTTTTCCAAATTTGATGAGACTATAAACGCACAAATTTACCACAATGAAGACATCCAAGCTGAACAAACATGAAGAAAACCACCTGAAGCATGTCATAATCAAATTATGTTAAATCAGTAATAAAAATTAAATTTTAAAAGCAGCCTGAGGCTGGGCACAGTGGCTCACCCTTGTAATTCCAGCATTTTGGGAGGGCAAGGCAGGAGGATCACTTCAGGTCAGGAGTTTGAGACCTGCCTGGCCAGCATGGTGAAACCCCGTCTCTCCAAAAAAAAAAATACAAAAATTAGCCAGGCATGGTGGCACACATCTGTAATCCTAGCTACTCAGGAGGCCAAGGCAGGAGAATCTCTTGAACCCAGGAGGCAGAGATGGCAGTGAGCTGAGATCACGCCACTGCACTCCAGCCTGGGCAACACAGCAAGACTCCATCTCAAAACAAAACAAAACAAACAAAACAAAACTTATTACTTACAGAAGAACATGTTAGTTACAGAAGAACAAAATATAAAATACCTTCAACTGCCAAAAGAAAAAAAAGTCATCTTAGAATTACATCTCAGCAAAAATATAGTCCTAAGAAAAGATAAACACACAACCAAATAATAAGCAAAGGCATTTTCCAGTAACAACAATAAAAGCTAAGAGAATTCCTGACCAGCAAGTCTGTACCATAAAATGCAAAAATAATTTTTTGACAGAAAGGGAAGATGCCAGGTAGAAATTTGGTTCCGTATGATGAGAATAGTGAGCTTCAAACATTCTGGAAGTTCCTTAAAGAGAGAGAGATTGCCAGTTCAGTAGAAAAGAAGACCCAACTGCATGCTGTCTATGAAAACCCACTTCATATATAAACTGTAAGAACAAATTCAGAGTAAAAGAAGGATGGAAGGAGATATCATATGAAAATATTAGTATAAAGAAAACAGAGTGGCTATATTGGCTCATTGGCATAAATTGGGGTAGATTTTAAAGGAAGGGGTATTACAGGAATAATGAGGGATATTTTTCCTCATGATAAAGCAGTTACATCACCAAGAACAGATATTAATATTAAATCAGTGTGCACCTAATAACAGAATTTGGAAATCCTTAAAGAAAAATCAATAGACATTAAATAGACAAATTAACAATTACAATTAGACAATTTAACACTTCTTCTAATAGATTTTTTAAGGGAGACAAAATATTAGTAAAGATTGAGAAAACTTAAAAACAGTATCATCCAGCACAACCTACTTGAGATTTATAGGACACTCTACCAAATAACAGCAGAATCCTTTCAAATATTACCCAATAGAACCCATACTAAGCTATGAAATGTCTCAAAAAATCAGCATTGTTTAAAATTATACAAAGTATAGTGTTGATCTACAGTGGAATTTACAAAGCTATCAATAAAAGAAAGGTATCTGGAAAAATCCCCATGTACTGTAATATCAATGAATGTATTTCTCAATGGTCAAAGGAGAAATCACAAGATACATTAGAAAATAAGTTGAACGGATAGAAAATGAAACCATAACATACCATGATCTGTGGAACTGCTGCTAAAATAGCTCTTGGAGACAATTTTATAATTAAATGCTATTATAATAGAAGAGAAGCTCACAAATAAACAATTTAAGTTTCCACCGTAAGAAACGGAAAGGGAAAAGGGAGCAAATTAAACCCAAAGTAAATAAAAGGAGTGAATAAAAAGAAACTGGACACAAAAGAAAACATTAAAAATAAATAAGTAAAAGTTGACTCCTTGAGAGGATCCATAAAATTGTGAGAACTCTCACTACGTTCATTAAGGGAAAAAATAAATCACAGCAAGTCTCAGGTGCACACCCAGGCTTCAGGCAGGTTAGATCTGAGTTTTAGGGTCATGTAGACTAGCCGCCGCGAGATGGCGGTAACTGCATGCTCATTCCTCACCCCTACAAGGCCAGGCCAGGCTCTGGACTCCACTCAGCTCGGGAGCTGGCAGAGGATGACAGCAGCTCCATGGACTCTGGCCTCAGGCAGAGCACTACGGTAGCTCTGGGGCTGGAGGAGGATGAAGAGGGAGGTGATCAGGACACCACAGTGATTGTGTGGGGGTGGTTAGGAACATGGGCTTTGAAGAGAGGGGGATTTTATTTCAAATTGCATCTCTGCCACTTAGGAGACAGGTGACCTTCAACATGCCCTCTAACCTTTCTAGGCCCCAGGACCTGCCTCTGTAATCTTGGGTAATACCGGCCTGGCAGGTTTGCTCCTGAGCATTCAATGATATAACTTGCATAAAAATGGCCATGGTGGAGCTGGCTACTAAATTCCCACGGCTCAGTGCAAAACAGAAATGCAGGGTACTTGTTCGAGAAGCAGTAGAAGAAAGCGTCATGAAAGGCAGGAGGACGTTCAGCTCTCTGAAGCCAATATATTTCATTGTTTTAAAAATGTGATAGAGATAATAGTTATGCAGGAGGGATGACAGACTCAAGCAAATCTCCCCCCAAAATGAGTGTCATGATTCTAATAGAATCATAACATCTTATTAATGGGACATACGGATGAATTAAACAATGTTTCAGGTCCACTCATCTGTCAACTAATTTGGCCATCAAAGTTTATACCTGGTGCAACTTCATTTTTTCCTTTCGTGAAGAATCTGCTGAAGCAAACGTTTCTGGAATATTTTCTAAGCTGTGACAATATGAAGTTGAACTATTCTGATATATAAGAAATTTTAGTATATCTGGGGCGATATTTTCGAAATGGTTTTTATAAATGATATAGCTTCTTAGGCAAACCATTTTCACATAAGTTCGAACTGAATTTTACATGTGAATTTATCCAGTGGAATTTTGATGCCTCTTCTGATATTTCCTGTAGTTTGCAGGGACTTACCACAAGAACCAAAGGGACATTATAATCTGTAGTTTATTGAAAATATCTGCTTACCCATTCCACTCTGTATCTTTACTAATAAGAAGAAAAACCATTTAAAAATTGTCCTCCTTGTTAAGGTCTGATTCATCTGAAAGTTTATATAAAAGTAGCACTCTTCTGCATATAATCTATAGAATATAATTATCTTTATAAATGTAATTTCCATTTTTGAGGCCATGCTAACTCCTTGCATAATTCTAAACTCTCTGAAGAACTCTAATCAACTCCCTGGCCGACTTGATTGCGATGTCCGTGTGCACACTTTGTCTCGCCACCAATTACTGAGAGTTTGCTGCCTGAGCACCTGCGGTTCCCGTCCCAGTGCTCAGGCCAGAAGGTTCAGATTTTGCAGAAGCTCCAAGAAGAGTAACTCCAGGGATGAACAGGCACAAAGTGTCAGTGCTACCCCTCCCCCCCGCCAGAGGCCCCCCTTTCACCCCAGGGCTGAGGACTGGTACTGACACCATAAGTAAGAGTCCTGTGAGACAGTGGGGCATGTGGAGACCAGGACTTTTTTTTTTTTTTAAATGGACTTTTGCTCTTACTGCCCAGGCTGGAGTGCAATGGCACGATCTCGGCTCACCACAACCTCTACCTCCTGGGTTCAAGTGATTCTCTTGCCTCAGCCTCCCAAGTAGCTGGGATTATAGGCATGTACCACCATGCCCAGCCCCAGGTGTCTGGGCCGCTCCAGAGATGTGAGTGCTAAGGGCAGCTAGACTAGCTATGACCAATCACGTGGCTGTGGTGCCGGGGTCTGAGCCTGTCCACTTCATGTCCATGTGTGTCCACTCTGCCCATGCGCACGCACCGCTCCACTTACAAAACGTTTAAGTTCAAAGACAAAATTACTCAGAATGTCGAGAGGGACGAGGCCTTCGGAGAGCAGTTCTCTGTGGGACCGCCCTGCCCTCAAACCCATGAAGCTGGCCATTCCACAGAAAGAGAAATGAATAAAACTGCCTCTGTGACTTAACACTAAGGATTCACTGCTGAGAAACTTTGTTTTCTAAAATCACAGGCATGAGCGACTTTGTTTTCTGGGATCCTATCTGTAGGAATGAGGCTTCCTTCTTTCGCCTGGGGAACTGAACCATGAGGCCACAAAGAAATAGCCTGAAAGTTCCTCCTCAGTTACAGGAAAGAGGTTTGGGAACACAGCATGGATGCTCATGTTCCATTAAAAACAGGCCACGTGTCTCCTCAGTCAGGCTTGATGGCTCCCCTTTTACACGGCTTTGCTTTGAGCTCATAAAAATAAATTAAATTAGATTTGACCTAAGCCTGGCATGCCCTCAGATTCTTTAATAGCTACATTTCTAGTTTTGGTGAAGAACCCCATGTCTGTGCTGGCGGATGGTCTTCCTTGCTGAAGCTGATAACTACCTTTGAAAGCAAAGGTGATATTCTGATGGTCCTTATCAGACAAGCCTTATCACCAGGATACAGGTGGCTGTGAAGGAGTCCCAGTGAGCTGTGCGGGGAAAAAAGCAGCAGCAGCAACCATAGGAATTTTCATGGGAAGAGTCAGCCCAGTTGTCCTTGAGCAACAGGCCCATGTTACCTCAGCCTTGGGGACTTCTTCCCCAGGGACACAGAGGTGCTGCACTTCTCAGTGACTTTCCTATGTCAGAGCAATTTCACCTCCTTCTCTAACAAGGCCTCACAAATGGACTGAGATCTAGAGAGGACAAAATGTGTAAAACGACAATGCGATCGGGGTTCCTGGGATTGGAACAGGGTTATAGCAGAAACTCACACTTTTCTATGGGTGTGTTTTTAAATATGAGTATATTACTTTTATAATAACAATGTTAAGCATAGGAGTCATTAAGAACGTATCAATCAGGAGTGACGCCGCACATGAGAAAGTTGGGAATCAGTCTCTTAACTCAACCTCTAAGCCCCAATAAAGCCCCTTGCCAAGTACCAAGGCATCTCCTCAAGGATAGTTACTCAACAAAGAAAGAGACGTGACAACCTAATTCAGTGTGTGACTCTAGACTGAGCATGTACCCAGAAAAATCAGCAGCCAGGAAGCTTTACTTGGAGCAAGTGCAATGTCCATGGGCACACTTTTGCTCTGCAATTATTTACAGAGAGTTTGCTTCCTGAGCACGTGCAGCTCCCATCCCAGTGTTGAGGCTAGGGAGCTGCTCTTGTTAATTGGTACAAATGGCACTGGGACGGAGGTGGGCATTTTCCCTCATTTGTAAGAGATCCGTGCTGAGATAATTAAGGTGAGGTGTCATGATGTTTGCCTCTTTCTAAAGGTAACAGAAATATATATATATATATATGTTTTAAAAACATCACTAACTTAGACAAAGCACATAAAGGCTTCACTTCACATTTTGTTTCTCTGTATGCTTTCGTCACCAGGAAGAAATAGTTCCAGTGTCAGGAATGAAGGAGTCTGCCCCTCATTTCCAGCCTGCTGGACACACAGGGAAGCGAAGTCCTGACGCAGCTGCAACCCTGGATGCAAATTCCCTCAGCGGTTCCCACAGCACCTGACCCAGCCCTTTCTTTGCATATCCCATCGGAAACACCCTCTGATGCAAAAAGCCACTGAGGATTCTGACCGTGCAATGTCCTCACCAGCTTCTTTTAAATCCACCTCTCGCCTCCCAGGACCCAGAAATCTTCAGAATGTGACATTTTAAAAGAGGTGAGGCAGGCCATGAGCAAAGGCTCACTGTCCCCATGGCTGTGTCACTGCTGCACCCTGAGACAGCTGGACACGGGCCTGCTCGTCCTTCAAACGCCCCTTAGATCCAAAAAGGGAAGAACCAGGAAGAAGGCCAGTTATACTCCCGAGAAAAGCCCCATCCCTGAGCCCCTGGCATGGGGCTCTATTCATTGGTCATGACCGCTGATGATTTCTCTGGGTTACAGAGGAAGGACAGGGTCCTGAGAGACCCACAGGGAGACCGTGTGGAGGCCTTGCAGCCCCACTGTGTGCTTCTCCACCAAACCCCGACAGCAGTGAGCTCCCTTAGCGCTGAGTCTGTGGAAGGCAGAGGAAGCCCTGGCTCCCAAAGCCCTGAAGCCCCGTGGAGCTGACGCTCCCAAGTGACTGTGTGAACTGAAGGAACTCAAGTGTGGGCCGTAGGCCACCTCCTGGCCCGGGCCTGGGCGGACTCTGAGGGGACACTGAAGTCCAATCACACCCTCCCATTCTCCTTCCCGAGGAAGGAAACAGGCACCCGTCTGCCTCATCTCTGTCCCGTGGGGATGATGGGGAATTTCAGGCGACTTTTCACGTGAATGTCACCAGCTGGGACCTCCTGGGAGGACTGGGCTCACCACGCTGCTGGTGCTGCCAGAGCCGTGAGCCCCCCAGGGTCCCCGGGTTTCAGTCAGCCCTGCTCCATCCCCAGAAGCTGAATGTTCCAGCAATTAGATGGAACCAGCTCCCATGTGGCTCGAGACTGTCCCCAGATAGGAAAAACAGGACGTTCCACAGAGCGGATGGCAGGTGAGCTCCACGCTACAGGCCCTGAGTTTGAGTTTGTTCCCCTGTGAGACAGGCCCAGCCCGTCACTCCAACCATACACTAGGTTTTAAATGATGCAAGACAGGAGGGATTTTCTGGTCCCCAGAGCAGACGGGGATTGTCTGGGGTTTCCCGAGTCCAAATTTGCATGCAGTCTCCTGAGTGTGCACTATTCTATTAGGACCATTCTCTGACTCACCAGTTAGGTGGTTGAATTCTACTCTTTGCAATGCGCATTGCAGCCAATACCAGGTCTGAATTCTACCTGGTGACCAGAGACCAGGACCTTTATAAGGTGGAAGGCTCAGTACCCTTCCCAGACTCAGCTCCTGGTGAAGCTCGCAGCCATCAGCCATGAAGGTCCTGTATCTCCTCTTCTCGTTCCTCTTCGTATTCCTGATGCCTCTTCCAGGTGAGATGGGCCAGCGAAATAGGAGGTTGGACAAATGGAAGAATGGGGCAGAGGCTGTCTGTGTCTGCCTCCTCTCTAATTCTCCGAACCCTCCCTCTCTTTCTCACCTCCTACCTCCCTCTCCCCTCTCCATCCGTCTCTCCTGCCTCTGTCTCTCTCCATCTCTCTCTCCTACCCCTCGCTGTTTCTCTCCTGCCTCTCTCTGTCCTGCCTCTCTCTCTCCTGTCTCTCCTCTGTCTCTCTCTCCTGCCCCTTGCTCTCTCCCTCTCTCTCGTCTATCTCCCTCTCCTGCCTCTCTCTCCCTCTCTCTCTCTATTTCCTACCTCTCCCTCTCTCTCTCTCCTGCCCCTCACTGTCTCTATCAGGTCTCTATCTCACTCACCTGTCTTTGTCCTCTCTCCCTCTCCTGATCCTTGCTCCTTCCCTCTCTCTCTTTCCCTATATCTCTCTGTCCTGTCCCTCTCTTTCCCTCTCTGCCCCTCCTGTCTCTTTCTGTTTCTCTCTCTCTTCCCTATCTCTCACTCTCCCTCTCTCCCCCAGAGCTTGTCTTTCTCTTCCTTCTACACACACCTTTAGACTTAGTAGACCACATGCCTCGCTTAATAGAACCAGGCATGGGTTCAATACAAAAGGAGCTTGCGAGCCCAATGGACACTTCAAACTCTCTTTTAGGCTGATATGAAGGGCCCAGTAGCTTTTTAAACTCATCTCCTCACTGCTTTCCACGCTATGACTGCTAAGACAACGGTTGAAACCCTTTAGGTGACTTTTTAAAAACAAAAGTCAGAAATGTTACTTTATCTAGAGAAAGAAGTACAGAATGTCACTTTCTAAGGGTTTGCATTTCAAGGGTAGATACTGCAACTTGGACAACTCCAGAGAATCTTAAGCCCCCGCCTAACCTCTGGGAACTACTGCTACAGACACTCTGCCCCTGGGTCTTTTCTGATCCGAGGCCCTGAGAACGCTTCCCTGCCGCGAGGCCACTGCAGGTTCACAGGACAGGGACGGCCCACCGAAAGCAACTTTTAAACCTGGATGCCGAACCTTCATTTTCTCCTTGATATTATGGAAATAAAATAGAAAGCATGAAAGGATAAAAGAGAGAGAGTGGAAGAGAAGGATGGAGAGAAGGAGAAAGAAAATTTGAGACTGAAACCGATATTATGTTGTCAAAGCCTCGTTTTATCAATTTTGTTTATGGGTGCCAAATTACAAGGGAACAATGGGGCTCTGAGAGGCACCAGAGACCTCGATATTTTCCAACACGTAGCATAGTACCAGGAATAATGGAAGGAAGAAAGGGAGGGAGGGACGGAGGGAAGGATAAAACAAAGAAGGGTGACATTGGAACCAGGACTTAGATCTAAGAAACAAGCCGTAACAAAAGCTATTACTACAGTGAATGGTGGGTTTCAGCTGTAAGTTACTCCATGTTAAGTTCATACGCGTCAATTCCAGCCCAGCGAGATGCATGCTTTGATTCCATCTCAGTTCTCATACTTAACAGCCTAAACCAGGCGTCGCCAGACCTTTTACACCGGGGGCCAGTTCACTGTCCCTCAGACCGCTGGAGGGCCGCCACATACTGTGCTCCTCTCACTGACCACCAATGAAAGAGGTGCCCCTTCCTGAGGTGCGGCGGGGGGCCGGATGAATGGCCTCAGGGGGCCGTGGTTTGGGGACGCCTGGACTAAATGATTTGGAAAGCAAAAGTTACTGGCCTGTATGTTAAGATGGAGGTAGGGTGGCTTTGAGGTTATCTGCCCGTGGTGGAGCTTGAATTCACAAGAGATCCTCGATGAGGTCCTACCTGACCCCACCGGGATGCCCCGGTCACTCAGGAGAGATCAGAGTCTTTCACATTCTGGTTCTATAAAAATAAGCATCCCCCAAACCACAGCAGCGCCAGCCTCCATGTCCGAAACTTAGATCCCAGTGACTGGCTCACGTCTCATTATCATGATGGAACAGCCCAGGCTGGGGAAAGAGGCCCACTGCTGATTTACTCAAGGTCATCCTGACACAGGGTTTGTGGCTTTGCAACATGGGCTTTGAATTCTAACGTGCTGTTTGCTTCTTCTGTGTTTTCTTTTTCCCTGTTAGGTGTTTTTGGTGATATAAATAATCCTGTTAGCTGCATAAGGAGTGGTGCCATATGTCATCCAGCGTTTTGCCCTAGAAATTTTAATCAAGTCGGCACCTGTGGTATCCCTTTTACAAAGTGCTGCAAGAAGAAATGAGGAGGCCGAGAAGCTTCTGTGGCTGATGTGGATTCAGAAAGGGCTCCCTCAGCAGAGCCGTGTAACATGTAAACCAAATTAAACGAGTGTTCAAAGACAGAGAATCTAGATGCTGATAATTGCGGCAAGTTCATGGTGTTGGTTTGGGCAGGCCACTCTCCGGCATCCTGGGAATGTCCTTCTCTGCTCTGCAGACCAGTGCAGTGATCAGGGACACCACGCTGGAGCTTGGAATGCTTTCCAGGGTCACAGCCATCTGTCCCACTGCGTCCCCTGACCTTCCCTAGTCGCTCCCAGCATTTTCCTAGAATGGGTGCTTCCCTCCTCCTGCATCCTCCACTTTCATGCCCTCACCTACCCCTCACCATCCCTAAAAAGAGCAAGCCCAACTCAAAGACCACTTCCCTCATGGAATCACGGGAGACCCGCCAAGGGAGGAGATGCCCAGTCCTCTATTCTCTGCAAGCGCTCCCTTCTTCTGGTTTATGTTTCTCATGCCATTATGCTTCCTACAGAGGTGCATGAGTTTTTAATTCTCCATTTAGCTATGAGATTTCTACTGGTGTGGAGTTCGTCTTATTTATGTGCTGGTCATTCATAAACTATTTCATCAATTGGATGGCAAAATGGAGTTATACAAGGCTTTCCTTACACACAAACATCATAGGATCCAAGTAAATGCTGTTAAAAACAAGTCCTTTTTGAGAGCACTGTTAAATGAGGACAATATAGCATGGGACACAGGACAGGGGAGCAAACCTCAGGAAGAAAGACAGCGCCTGATGCCTTGTCAGCCTGGAGTTTGTTGTCCATGTCGCTATCAACATTTAGTCACATACATTTAACATGTTTCTAAAGAGTTTCAAACTCTCCCTCAACGGCCTGTCCTTTTCAATTTTTTTTAATTGTTGAGACCACATATCACTCTGTTGCCCAGGCTGGAGTGCAGTGGCATGATCTCGGCTCACTGCAACTTCCACCTTCCGGGTTCAATCGGTTCTCATGCCTCAGTCTCCCGAGTACCTGGGACTACAGGGGTTAGCTAACGCACCCGGATAATTTTTGTATTTTTAGTTAGGGTGTTTCATCACGTTGGTGAAGCTTGTCTTGAACTCCTGCCCTCAGATGATCCACCCTCCTCCACTTCCCAAAGTGCTGTGATTGCAGGCCTGAGGCACCATGCCAGCCTCCTCTGCCTGTCTTTTGCTGAGCCTTGTAGACTCTTCCAACCTCTGCCAGTTACCCCGTTACAAGGCCATTTCCCCATTTTTTATGTATCTTCATAGCAATGTCCCCTCCACGGTACCAGTTTTCTGTGTTAATTTGTTTTTTACTACTGTAAGGAAATACCTAATGCCGGGGAATTCATAAAAGGAGTTTATTCTGGTTTACTGTTCTGCAGACGTCATGAGTAAAATGGGGCCAGCGTCTGCTATGGTGAGGCCTCAGAAAGCTTCTAGTCATGGTGGAAGGTGAAGGAGGAGCAGGCGTATCACAGGGTGAGAGAAGCAACAAGAGGGGGGGAAGGTGCCACACCATGTTAAACAGCCAGAACTCCCACGACTCAAAGCAGGAACTTGTGGATTCTCTCCAGGACAGCACCAACCCATTCACGAATGATCCACTCCCCCGGCCAAACACATCCTGCCAGGCCCCACCTCCCACATTAGGAATTACGTGTCAACATGATATCTGGAAAGGCGAACATTCAAACGGTGTCACACCACAAATTACAGCCAAGAATAGCAGAGAGGGGGGCCACTGGAGGGAGGAGGGGTCCTGAGTTTTGGAGAAGGGCAGGGACACCTCCATTCTAGGGCTAGGGTGTGATGTGAGCGCACTGGGGGTCAGACGTCACCAGGCCAGAGAAAAGCAAAAACGCCCTAAGGAAGTGAACGGCAATTTCATGAGGACAGAAAAGACTTGAACACTTTGCACCCCCACAGCGAAGTCAAGAGACCCTCAGAGACCTGAGAAAGCCATCAGTGAGACGTGGTGCTATTTAGCTCTGGATAAAAGTGTTCTGCAACGGCTCCAAGAAACGTGTGAAGCCGTTCCCAAAAGGTCCAGACGAATCTACAAAATCTCAAATGTGAATGTGAATGTAAATAAGGTCTGACAGTCTTCACAGGAAAACAACGAAAGCTGTCACTCAGCCATTTCAGCTCTATAACACACTGAATTGAGTGAAGTATTTCCAAGCATACAAACAAGGAAAATAGCGCTCATAACCACGAGGAAGTCATTCAGTAAAAACAGACTGCAATGACGACAAAGACACTAGGATTGGAAAGAGGGAGGTAAGGGAGGGATTATAAAAGTCATAAATATGTGCAAGGCTGAAGAGAAAAACTTTTTGATGAGGAGAGACACATACAAAGAAATAAATGGACCTTCCAGCAATAAAACAAAATAAGAATGTGAATAAAAAATATTCTGAACCGAATTAATGGCATATGACAGTGTTGAAGAAAAGATCAATAAATCTGTATATTAATACAAACAAATGAAGAAATAACACAAAGGGAGAGACAAGTTGGATAAACAATGAACAGTGTGCTGTGCAGAAATATCAAGCAATCTATCACCTTGTGTGTTTAAAGATAGAAGTTGAAAGGGAGGGGATAAAGTTGAGAAAATAATCCGTCTCAAAAAGAAAAAAGAAAAAAGAAAATAGCCTATTTTCGTAAATTTGGTGAGACTATAACACAATTTGGTATTCAAAGACATCCAAGAAGAATAATTATAAAGAAAACAAGAGCAAGGATATTAGAATTATATTAGTCCATTTTCACACTACTATAAAGACAACTAGTTGAGACTGAGTATTTTTTAAAAAAGGTTTAATTGACTAACGTTCTACAGGCTTAAGAGGAAGCATGGCTGTGAATGCTCAGGAAACTCACAATCATCAGTAAGGTGAAGAGGCATCAAGCAAGTCTTACATGTGGCAGGAGAGAGAGAGAGTGAGAGCGCGAGCGCGTGTAGGGGAAACTGCTGTTTACAAAAACATCAGCTCTCATGAGAATTCACTCACTATCAGGAGAACAGCACGGGGGAACCAACAGCAGGATCTAGTCACCTCCCACCAGGTCCCACCGCCCCACACTGGGGATTATGGGGATTACAATGGGAGTTAAGACTTGGGTGGGGAAACAGAGCCAAACAAGTATCAATAATCAAATTATTTTCAATCAAAAATAATGAGTAGTTTTTTTTTTTTTTTTTTGGACGGTCTTGCTCTGTTGCCAGGCTGGAGTACAGTGGCACAATCTCGGCTCACTGAAACTTCTACCTCCCAGGTTTAAGCAATTCTTCTGCCTCAGCCTCCTGAGTAGCTGGGGCTACAGGCAAATACCACCAGGCCCAGCTTTTTTTAAAAAAATAGAGATGGGGTTTTACTGTACTGGCCAGGCTGGCTTTGAACTCCTGACCTCGTGATCCTCCCTCCCAAAGTGCTGGGATTATAGGTGTGAACAACTGCACCCAGCTGAGAAAATCTTAGAGAAGACACACTGCTTACAGAAGAATGAAAAATCAAGTGATTAAGTACCAAAAGAAGAAACACATGTCAAGATAGAACACGCACAAGCAAAAAATATATTTCTAAAATTATGGTAAACACATATTCCAATAATAAGTAAAGACCTTTTCTAATAACAACAAAAACTAAGAGAATTCCTCACTAGCAAACCTGTACTACAAAACAAGATTCAATATATGCTGTCTGTAAAAAAAAAAAAAAACAAAAACAAAAAAAAATCCCAATGTACAAACTAAATATAAAGACAAAGATAGCTTGACATAAAGGGATGGAAATAGCTACAGTATGAAAACATTAATCTAATAGAAACAGAATTAGTTGTACCGGCTAACTGACTCTAAATCAAAGTAGAGTTAAAAACAAGGTGTATAATCAGTGAGTAAGAGGGTGTTTTTCCCAGTGTTCAAGCAGTTAAGTCATCAGGGACAGATATTATTATTATTAAATTAGTATGCACCTAATAAGGGAATCTCAAAAATTGTAAAGATAAATTGATAGAACTGAGCGAAGAAAATGACAAATTAACAATTACAATGGGATATTTCAACACTTTTTTTCTTTTTAATAGCTTTTTTGTTTTTTGAAACTGAGTTTTGCTCTTGTCAACCAGGCTGGAGTGCTGTGGTGCGATCTCAGCTCACTGCAATCTCCACCTCCCGGGTTCAAGCAATTCTCCTGCCTCAGCCTCCTACGTAACTGGGATTAAAGGTGCATGCCACCACACTCAGCTAATTTTTATGTTTTTAGTAGAGATGGGATTTCACTATGTTGGCCAGGCTGGTCTCAAACTCCTGACCTTAGGTGATCCACCATCCTTGGTCTCCCAAAGTGCTGGAATTCCAGCTGTGAGCCACCATGCCTGGCCTCTCCTTGATAAGTTTTTTTTTTTTTTTTTTTTTTTTTTTTTGCAGACACATATATATAAAGATGGAGGGGGTCCTGAATAACGGTATCATCCACTGTGATCTGTTTGAGATTTACAGGGCACTCCCCCCAATAACAGTAAAATGCATTAATACGTTACCTAAGAGAGCTCATACTAATCTAAGAAGCAAGTCTCAAAAAATCAAAATAATTTAAAGTCAAATGGAACATAATGTCTATTCACAGTGGAATGTATGACTGCTGTCATGAAGAGAGAGTTGGAAAATTCTCCAAATAGTAGGACATTACTGAACATGTTTCTAATGACTAAAAGGAGAAATTAGAAAATAATCTGAAGTGACAGCACATGAAAACATAACAAAATTTGTAGCAATACAGCTAAACCAGTGCTTGGAGAGAAACTAATAACCCTCACTGCTATTACAATGGGAAGCAGAAAAATGCAGAAATACACAATCTAAGGTTTTACTGTAAAAATACTGGAGAAATAAAGAACTAAACTGAAAGAAAATGAGTGAATAAAAAGAATGTGAGCACGAAATAAAACATTAAAAATAAATAAATGAAAGCTAATTGCTTGAGATCATGCATACAATAGTGAGAACCCTCACTAGGTTCACTACAAGGGGGAAAAAAATCACAGGAAGTCTCAGGTGCACACCCGGGCTTCAGGCA